TTCAGTTGTGTTAAGTCCAGTCTAGTTCAGTGTTTCCAATGCTAAGGATATTCGTGATTAGTCGGTTATAATAAATAACCAACGAATCACGAGTATCATCATTAGTACCATCGTGTTAACTAAAAGATGAGGAGGGCCTACAGTACGTTAATACTAGACGTGTATGAAAGTGCATTAAAGTGACTTTTTAAAGATATATATTCAGATGGTTTTCAATATTTTTTGTCGTATACGTAATACATATGTAAGAATAGATTGAAAATATTCATACTTTTATCTTGGCTATATATCTTTATATAAGGTATAGATATAACACTACTCATACTTTTATTATCAGAGATTCCAACGGTGACTGGTCTCTGTGTGACAGCCTATGACACAACATCCATTTCAATCAGGTGGACGGCTGTAAAAGGTATGTTGTCATTACTGTATACGCATTATGTGGAGAACAGCTTACATATAGTAGTACGTTTAGATACGTTTAGGCACCATTAAAATCAGAAGACTGATTAGCACGACAAAAGTACTTGGAACATATCAATGATGTGAAATGATTAATATCACACCGATTAATAAAAATTTCTTCAATCGTTACATATGTTTGATTCTTTCACACGCAGGCTGGTGGCCTTTTTTTAGTGATCCTGTAATTCGAGTCCACATCTCGGCACCTGATCATGATTGTCCAGGCAAAACATGGAAAGCTTCAGATGAATTACCAGGTGGAACAAGCACCAAACGATTTGAGAAACTCCGTCCTGCAACCTTCTACACCATCCACGTTGCTGTGTTAGGATTGACGAGAAAAGAAGGAAAGCCAACGCCAATAACGTGTGCAACAAGTTAGTAAATAGGACCGAGGTGTTTTTGAGAAAACGCCCCCTCCTTCTTCTTTGAAGAATGTTGGATGTCATTCGAAATGTCCTGAATTTATATCTCCGTAATTTATACGGTAGTAGGGTTTCAATTTTCGATGAGGATCCCCCGTCTTCATTCTGATTGACATTTCTCTAACTGTAACTGTTGTCTAGTTCTCTCAGCTCGCATGGTTCTGCTATTTCTAGCATTTACAACTACTGTAAAATAGAATTATGCTATCACTGCAAAAATTACAAACAGCATTTTAGGCGTCATTGATGGGGATATTGTACTACAGTCAGCATCGAAAATTCCGTATGTGAATTACTTCAATTTAACAGTTCAACTTTAATTGTGTTGCAGGACCTCGGCGTATTACGTCGGTCTCTGTAGTAGAACAAACGACAACCACCATCAAGGTAGAGTGGTCAGCTGCTATCGACAACAACGTCACATACATGGCACACATCACTGGTAAAGACCCGATACTAGTTGGCAATGACTTAGCGTATAGTTTTCACGAGCTCGAACCTGGTACTAGTTATGATATAAGTATAACCGTAAAACATACATTTGAGGGCGGGATAGAAGTTGATAGTCTTCCATCTAAAACTGAGGCCTTTACCCTCCCTGTCCATCCTGATGCCTTTGGGGTGAAATCATGTGGTTCTTCTTCGATAACACTGGCTTGGAAACCTCCTGCAGTTGGAAATATAGATGGTTACAAAGTAGAAATATGGTGTGCAGACCAAAGGAGTGGTGGACAAAAGCCAAAACAAAGTCGATCAATAATAGGTAGGGACCGCACCGAATGTACATTTAAGTCACTTTCGACTCCCCCGGGTAGTGTTCTTCGAATAACAATTTCATCTTACTTCCAAAACCTCAACAGCAGGATTGAGGAATTAACGCAGAGAACCAAACTTTGTTCTCCTGACCTAAAGCTGCACAAAAAAACGCAAACGTCTGTCACAATGTGTTGGGAGCATGTGATGGGTGAGAGAGAGAAGTACATTCTCTCAATATCTCCAAACGAGGGCCAACCTGAAGAAGTAATTCCATGCCATGAGAACAGGCTTCAGCACACGTTTCGAAACCTCGTCCCAGGTAAAGAATACGAAGTGTCAGCCTTTACAATTTATGAAGATGCAGAATGTGAACCATGTGTCCTGACCATAAGGACTGTAGTGCCACCACCCGGGAACCTTACAGTCATCCAACAAAGCATCACGACTCACAGCTTCATGATCAGTTGGGACAAGGCAGACGGCGAGATAAGTGATTACATTGTGCGATATCAATCTCAAAACCATGGTCAAGACGAAACCTTACCAATTGGCAAAGAACATCAGCAAGTAACGCTGCCCAACCTGATACCTGGCACAATGTATAGCGTTTCTGTTTCCTCGAAAAGCGGAGAGGATGAGAGCACATTCTGCAGTGTAATGCAAGGCACCAAAGTTCTTCCCATAACGGAATCTGATGTAGAAGTACGGACACAACCGAAACGTATTCAACTATTGTGGAAACACCCTGAAGGATGCGTGGAAAAGTACATACTCTGTTCCTCTCATGGTGGTGAGCTGTCTATATCTCCTCCGCTGCATACAAAGACCTATGACAATCTCGTTCCAGGTACCAAATATACGATAACATTGGAAACTGAAAGCTGTGGATTAAAAAGTGGCAGTCCATACTTCAAAGAGGTCGTCACAGATCCACTTCCACCAGATAGGGTGATTTTCGAACACATTGGCACCGACAACGTAGTTGTTAAATGGTGTAAACCAGAAGGAAAAGTAGACCGATACGGACTATCTATAGGCGAAAGTGACTGTGAATACGTTCAATGGAACGATCAACCTACATATACATTCTCGTCACTGAACCCAGGTCAACGATACAAACTCAGTATGGTATCAGAGATTCTGGATGGACACAAATTGAGTGAGCCCATAAAAAAGACATTCTATACCCGGCCTCTTCCACCCATAAACGTAAAGATTACTGACATATCTACAGAAAGCTTTCAGGTCAGCTGGGAGCCCCCGAAAAAAGGCACTTTTGAGAAAATTCGGCTGGGTCTTTCTTTTGGGAATAATGCCCCGCTTTATCAGTCGCCCCAAGCAGGCATCGAAAACTGGTACAGGTTCACAGGTCTTGTTTCAGGCCGTATGTATACAGTCAAAATTTGCGCTGAAAGTGGAGATCAGATCAGTAAAACAAAAAGGCTGAAAATCCAAACTGATATGTCTCCTCCAACAGTTAGTGCACCGGTGGAAAAGATCAGCCCAAAATCACTAGTGGTGCACTACGAACTTCCAAATAGTGATTGTGACAAATGCACCATCCTACTGTCCTCCATTAAAGATTCTAACATTACAAAAGAGGAAACAATACAACACCCACAACCGACCCTGAACTGCACGTTTAAAGATTTAACACCAGGCGAGGAATATAGAATACTTGCTACTGCCCATAGTGGAACAAAAAGCAAGGAATCTCCACCGTTGAATGTTATGACGAGTCTTGACACACCAAAACAAATAAAAGTAGAAAAGTCTTTCACTTCAGCAACGATATCATGGTCACACGCAGAAGGCCACAAGGACGGATATACAGTAAGATTATCGTCGAGTGACGGACGTGACGGAAGTGGTATCAAATTTGTTTCAAAGAATAACTTGCTTCAAGCAAAATTTGAGAATCTAATCCCTGGAAGGAAATTCGACGTCATGGTCACAACTACTTTAAAACACCAAGGCAAGAACGTTAAGAGTATCGTCTGTAGGGAGACCTTTAGAACGAATATCCGGAAACCCGAGAAAGTCATAGAGGGTAGTATTGGTGAAAGAAACATCAACGTCTCCTGGACTGACGTAGACGGTGACAGAGATGCTTACTGCATCTCTATTAAACATAATGAAGAAGAAGTGGATAAGAAACAAAAAACAGCTCCTCAAACACGGAAATCTGTACTTACACAATCCTTTAAAGATCTTGTTCCGGGGAGGAGTTACACCTTGACCATACAAACTCTAAGTGGAACCGACAAAAGTGAAGAAATATCCTATCCATTTTGTACGAAACTTTCACAACCACATATACGTGTAGAAGAAACATTCTCTTCGGTGGATGAAACGTCTATACATCTCTTTTGGGAGCATTCGGAAGGAGACTGGGATAACTATGAAATAGAAGCAGAGAACGAAGAAACAATGGAAAAGAAACTACTTGAATGGAGATGTACAGAACGCAAAGAGTTCGGCGAACAGTTAATAACAAACCTTGTCCCTGGGTCGTGGTACGTCCTCTCCATTAGGACTGTTGGTGGAGGACAAAGGAGCACTCCAGTTACTGCGCGTTTTAGAACATTACCAAAAGCCCCAGTAGATGTACAAATTACAAAAACAAGTAATGAGGTATCAGTAGAGTGGAACCACTCAGATGGCAAAAATGATGGCTATATTGTTAAGCTGTGTTCAGAATCTGACACTGAGAAAACTATTCGAGTCGATTCATTGTCCACCTCATGTCCTTTCAAAGATCTCGTCGCAGGTCGGTCATATGTTGTAGTGCTTAGCGCAGTCGTGAAAGTCGACGAACGTCCAGAAAGGGAAAGTAAAGAAGTGAGAAGACCTGCACAGACAACAATAACGAAACCTGCCATAGAAGTTATTCGAAAGAGTGAGACGAGTATTTTGTTGTCGTGGTCAGATGTTGACGGTGACAAATCTGGATACTCCTTGTCCATTAACCCCAAAGACGGGTATATGCCACAACGTAGCACTTACCCGAAAACAGAAAAACAGCTTCAAACGGAACCATCTTATCAGGAAAAGTTTTCTAGTCTATGTCCTGGCAGGGTGTACACAATACGTGGGGTCACAGAAAGTGGGAATGGTACAAGCGAAGAGACGGTCCTGACAGAGAGGACAGAAGTTGGTGAACCAAAAAACCCTGAAGTTGAAGCAACGGTAACTACGTTGACGCTGCGTTGGGATCCTGCTGATGGTGATGTCGACGAATATCATGTATTTTTGGAGCCAAATGACGATCCTCCGTCACCTGTTGTTGTACCGAGCGACCGTAACACATGTCATCAGTTTAATGGCCTTGAGCCGGGGAGGCTTTACAAAATGACCATAGTCACATTGAGGGAAGATGTGAAAAGTAAAGAACGTGTAGTTGAAGAGCAAACTATTGTCGCGCAGCCCAAGAATGTTCAAGTCGAACAGGCTGGAGACGGGGCATTGAGCTTGACGTGGGAAGACGCAGAGGGAGACAAGGACGGGTATACCTTAGAGATATATTCAACTTCAGAAGTAAAACCGAAAACGTATAATGTTTTATGTTCACAAGCAAAACGGCACGAATGGACAGATCTGGTTCCAGGGAGGCTTTATAACGTAACAATCAAAACGAAAAGTCATGACAGTCTCAGTGAACCAATTACAAGACAGAAACGGACATTAGTTGCTAGACCAATAGACTTTAAATTTGCTAGGAAAGATGTGAAGGAGAAAAGTATTGCCGTTAGCTGGACAATTGCTCCTGGTGAGGTAGACAAGTATATTCTACACATATCAGACAAATATCGGACATGGGAGCACCCAGTGCAAATAACTCACAATAAAGGGAAGATGTCTTATGTGTTCGACGACCTTGTGCCGGGACGTCAATACAACGTATATATACAAACCGAACGGGAAGGAGAATATAGTGACAAAGTACCACTGCCAAGGGTAAGAACAATGGTCAGCAAGCCGGTAAATTTAAAAGTTGAAGACAGGCAAACTGACAGTCTTCGGGTGGCATGGACCAGTGCGGAAGGGGACAAGGATGCTTACCACATCAGTATTGATCCACAAGAGGGAAATAACCCTTCTGCAGTTTTGACGATCACTGAAGAATTGACATACACATTTACAGACCTGATCCCTGGTAGGCTCTATACAGTCAACGTCATCACCGACAGTGGTGGAGACAAAGGTTTGGCGGAAAGAGTCAAGCGAAGAACTCTTCCAAGTCCACCGCGAGCCGTGGTAGCGTCGGTGCAAGGGACAGGCATTCTTGTCACCTGGGAGCCAGCAATCGGGGATAAGGACAAATATATCTTGAGGCTTTATTATGATAACAAGGATATAGGCATAAAAGCAGATCACCTATGGTGTGAAGTTGAGGAGGGAACTCAAAAAATATTCCCGCTTTTGGAATTTGGCAGAATGTACCATGTGCATGTTGCAAGCCGTAGTGACGATGCCGATAGTGAACCAGCTGCTACATCACTAAGGATGACGGTTGATCATCCAAAGCATGTATCAGTAATGCATAAAACGGAAACTACAGCCACCATCAAATGGGATCATGCACAGGGTGACAAAGACAAGTACGCCGTGAAAATACAGCCGAATTCACAGACTGGTTATGAAATAAAAATCAACCAAGAGCAGACCTTAACACATGACTTCGACAACCTTTACCCCGGAAGATTACATCTCTTGTCTGTTTACACAATTAGCGGAGACGACCGGAGTCGACCTGAACGTGCAGAATTTACGACATTGGCGCGTCCTCCAAATAAAATTCACGTCAATAAAGAAGACGTGAAGGAGAAAAGCTTGCGTGCTTTTTGGCCTGAACCTGAGAGTGAAGTGGACCATTACGGGATAAGCATTTCCCATTCTGGAAGAGAAATAAGACGATATGTGATGTCTCCCTCGTCAAGAGAGTACCTTTTCGAGAACCTAACCCCCGGCAGGCTGTACACACTTTCTGTGTGGACTTATGTTGGGGACCTGGGAAGTACATCAGTTCCAATATCAGTACAAGAAAGAACATTGGTTGCGAGTCCCAAAACAATAAGAGTTGCGAATTGTACTCATTCGTCAATTTCATTTTCATGGGATAAAGCTGACGGGGATGTGGACAAATACGAGTATCGTGTTGTACATGGGAAGGATTGCGTTAATACGAGCATAATGACTCAGTCACCCGACCAACGTTCGGTGCAAATTAATGACCTATTAACCGGGGGACGTCTATACGAGCTAGTCGTAGTAGCTGTAAGTGGGGATAGGAGAAGCCTGCCTACCAGGACAAATCATCGCACAAAAGTTCACAGACCTGAAGGCCTTCACGTCGCTGACGTCAAATTGCAACAAATCACCATCACATGGGAGCATGCACCGGGAGATAAAGACGCGTACACTGCAGCTGTATTTGACACTACACGTCAAGACAGAACTCCAAAGAGCAAGAGTGATGTATCTGCCACCGCCTTGGTTCTCGAACATCGCTTCAGTGCTTTGGTACCCGGCCGAGAGTATGAGATATTGGTCACAACTATCAGTGGAGGGGATACAAGCGAACCAGACAAACGGATAGTAAGGACAAAGCCCCTCCGCCCGGTAAATGTTAGGACGTCGGCCGTGGACTCCGGAATCAAGGTGGATTGGTCAGAACCAAGCGGTGACAAAGACGAGTATTTACTGGAGATTTCGCCTAGCGAAGGTTCGCATCTTCCTGCTTGCATTTCAAGTGGCAACGAAACTACTCATACGTTTTCAGGCGTTACACTCGGAAAGCTGTATGACGTCAAGATTTCCACCAGAAGCAAAGATATGGAAAGTGCTAAGGTAATCAGACAACAGCGAATGACTGTAGGCCAGCCAAATTGTGTAAAGCTTCAGCCATTCGAGACCTCAGTCAAAGTGACATGGGCCCACGCAGAAGGTGAAAAGCAACGCTACCACATCACGATATGGGAGGTAGAAAGGCAGAAATGCGTATGCAGAAAAGAAAGAAACGCTAACGAAGAGTTAACGTTAGAAGTTCTTAATCTTGTATCTGGAAGGCTTTACAGAGTGGAAGTCACTACAGAGAGTGGAGGAGAGTTGAGTAAATGCGTTCCTAAAATAGTAAGAACTAAAATTTGCCCTCCAACGGAAATCTGCATCGCAGACAATGAGGTTGAGGAAACTAGCATTCGAATCACGTGGCGTAAACCAGACTGCCACATGGACATGGACTGTTATCATGTTTCAATACACCCAGCAGTCGGCGTAGAGAATGCTATTGGTGTGGTAGAAAGAGAGAAACCTTTAGAGTATACTTTCAAAAATTTAACTTCAGGTCGCAAGTATACACTAAGCGTGGCAACCGCTAGTGGTGGAGACAGGAGCGATCCTGTCACCACCAAAAAAAGAACAACTGTTAGTCGCATAGAACAAATCGATGTTACGTACAAAGATGAAACTGCTTTTAGAATAACTTGGCCTGATGTCAAAGGTGACAAGAGTTCGTACATTGCCTCCATACGAGAGATGACTACTAAAATTCCTGTGCGACGTTTCTCCGACATCCCTGCCCAATCTCTGAACTCCCAAATGTTCAACAAAGGTCTTACCCCTGGTAGATTGTACGAAGTTTCTGTGGTCACAGTAAGTGGTGAAATGGAAAGTTTAGCAAGAAAAAAGCAGGTCAGAACAATCGTGTCTCCTCCTAGAAATGTAATGATTCCACAAGACAGCGTGACAGAACACAGCATGGATATAGTTTGGGAGGACGCAATGGGAGACCACAAGTCATACGAGCATCGAATTTCACCAAAAGAAGACACATGTACATGGAGCGACGAAGTAAAGTCGTCACCAGACAGGACTAAAGTGCACAGACGCAGATTTGAAAATCTGGTTCCTGGTAAAATATATACAATCGAATTGTGGACAGGACAGGAAGAGGCTACCAGCAAAGTAGTTAAACTTAAAGGGAGAAGAACAAAGGTTGCGGCTGTAATGGAAAGCTCCATAGACTTCAGGAATATCAGTGAAAATGAAGTCACTTTGACATGGGTGCAAGCTGCAGGTGAGAAGGACGGCTATATAGTAACCATGCATCCTTTCACTGGCGACAACGAGGTGGTTAAACCACAGCCATCTGAAGTAAAAACAGCACACGATGAATTACAGCACACTTTTCCTGATCTAACCCCCGGGCGAAAACACACTATTTCTATTGTAACATACATTGAAAATGACAAAAGTTCGGAAGTTATCAAGGCAATACACACAAAGCCGAATAAACCTGAAGGATTCCATGTTGAAACTTTTGCAGAGGGCATTGCGGTGTCTTGGTACTCTCCTACAGGTATACAAGATGGGTATTTGGTGGAGTTAACGACAGTTCCTGAGGATCCGGAGGACTTCATTAAAGCAACCTTTTACGAAAAGACAGAACCTTACAACGATGAAGGCGTTAGCATCTTAGACGAATCCAATGAAACAAGACATTTTAAATATACGTTCAAGGAGAAGGGCATGATAAATGCACGAACAAAATATAAAATCTCAGCATGGACCAAAAGCGGCAAGGAAGAAAGTGGTGGTCAATGCAGCGATGTGATCGTTGTGGAAGAACAAACAAAGCCGCATCCCCCCAGAGATCCTCGCCTGGTAAAAGAGGGTATAGAGAGCATAACATTTGACTGGGCGCCGCCTATAGATGAAGGGAAGAAGCGAGATGTCTACAGGTACATCGTTAAGTATAAGGGACCGGAGGAAGAGGATGAACGCGAGCGTGACTGTCAGTTCAACACCTCTGCGAAAATAGAGCACCTGAGGGACAACACAGAATATGATTTTTTCATCATTTCAGTGGTGGAAACAAGAGCTGAAGACGGGACAATTGAACGGGTCGACAGTGAAAGGTGCAGATTCACTCATAAGACAATGTCACAGAGCACGAAAATTGTCAGAAAGTTTTCAAGGAAGCTGAAGAAAGCTATTTTTATCGTTATCTGTGGTGGTGCATTTGCCATCTCCCTGTTTACGTTCCTTGGCGTGTTCGTTCATAACTGCGTCAGACCATTTGATGATCAGAGTGAGGTAGCCGTTGCAACCGTACTTCCAAGTACGAAAGGCTCAAACACTTCAAGTAACAATTCTTCTGTCCGTCCGACTGTCAGCACAAACAGTGGTTTAACAGAGTGCTTCGTTGAAAAGGCTGGAGAACAGTTTTGGTACTTCGTATTTTTCACTGCGTTGCCTGCTATCTCCGTCCTAGTAATTGTTCTGTGGAAAGTAATAAAGCGCATCAGGCATAATATAGTACCACGCGCGGTCTCGGACGCCGAACGTGGACTATTAGAAGACAGAGGTACAGAAATGGCTGATATGCACTCTGGTGAAGATATGCCAATACTAGAGTACGGAAGAAAGACAACTCGGCAAAGATGGGTAACTAATACTTCTTAGCTGATTGAAGTTTGGGTCGCTAGATAGTTGACAGCACAGGGCCACTGAGAAACTAGAGGTCGGAGATCTCATGTCTTCGTCAGAGGTACATCGTTAGAGAAATTAACATGCGTATTCTTCACTCTTTTTGATAATCAATTTGGTCTTAAGAACAAAAGAATCTCTGTACTATTTTTATGGTACAGAACACCCTGAAACGGTTTGCCGCAGATTATACAGATGCGTCGTCACCAGTGTTACGCCCCCCCCCCCCCCCCTACGTTATTTGAGTTTGGACTGTTACTGGAAAAAAACGTTCAAGAAATTCTTACTGTGTTGAAAGTGTCACGACAGCGCCGCAAAATATAATAAGAGAAGATGTTATAAAGGAAAGAATCAGAACAGGGTGACTACTGCTGTTTTTGTTAATTTGTCTTTATGACAAATAGAAGACTTGTTTCTTGTGTTCTTTGTGTCCTAACATTTGTACTTCTACAGTTAGTATATTCCAAATCTAGGCATCTCGTTTTTCGGCCCTTCGTGTTTTTATTGCGCGCTTGCCTTAAATTTAAGGTAATTAGATTTAAGGTCTCCAGTGGACGTCATCCATAGCAATTACTTGGTGTGGCCGTAGAAAATAACCTGACATATGTCCAACCTATCCTCCCCCTGCTGAAGTTATAGTACAATCCCTCAATGTAACGTCATTTGATCCCATCCCATTATGGGGTTCCCCGGCTATATCCAGCTGTCGGCTGTCTCCAAGCAGATGTAGGTGGGGGATTTCTAAACACAAAAGGTCCTATTACGGGGACATAACGACCTCCACGACTCTCATCTTTGAACTCAATCTTGGAGACCACCACAGTAACATGCCTATCAAATTTCATTAACTTCCATCCACACATACAAAAGTTATCCTGCTCACAAGAAAAATTAACAAAATGCCCCCTGTAGTCACAACGAAACCCCCCACGAAGCTCAGTAACGAACTTAACCTTGGTCCCGACAATAGTAAGCACCACACCAAGAATTATAATCAACATTTTACAAATACTTGAGTTATCTTGCTAACAAGCCACAAACACAAAAGGTGCACTGACGTGACGCACGGACCCCCCACGAAGCCGAAACTTGTAATTGACTTCGGCCTCAACAGCGGTAATCTGCCTGCCAAAAATCATGGACGTCGAATCATGCCTTCCAGAGTTATATCGCAAAATCCGCAGTTCCCCACACTCCGGCGAGACAATTTCATAGTCCTTCTGACGAAGACAATTAGAGGTATCACCAACAGATCACATGAGATTCTCCATAGCAATGAGAATGTTAGTACTGCAGAATCTTTGAGTAAGTTGTTATCTCAGTTTCACTTATTTCATTTACATGAGATCTGAAGTTTGAAACTCTCTCTCTCTCTCTCTCTCTCTCTCTCTCTCTACTACT